ACTGGGAGTTGGGCGTAGAAGACCCCGTTTACCGACAGCATGCAGGAGACCTCCCACTCCCTGTCCCTCTTTCCATCGCCGCCCCCGCAAAATCTCATCCCCCTAGTTCTCGCTTAGGGAGTATGTGGAAGAACTCGCTCGTTCTGATTAATGACAGCTTGTGTGTGCGAGGGTGAGGGCTGAGAGTGGGGGTGGAGTTGAGGGGGTGGATAGTCTATCGAGAATGTTCGGGGAGAACTGAGTTGTCCACTCCGGGATGGAATCCCATCCCGGGCGGGGCGCCGCTCCCCAAGGGTTTGAGGTACCAGGAGTCGCCACCCCAGCCTTGCCCCCCTGGAAGACGTTCAAGGGGGATCGTCCGTTAACGAGAAGGGATCGCCCCTTGCGAGAGAAGGGAGTCCTGAGCCCGCGGAGGGCGTGTCCGTGGACCCCGGCTCAGGCCCAGCAGGCCAGGCCACCGGCTCCGGGTCCTCCCTGCTCGAGCCCCCTCCATCCTCGCCAGCTGCCCGCCTCAGGGTGACAAAGCTTAAGTCCCAAGCCCAGCACCACATAGGGAGATCACCAGGGGAGGAAAAAGAAGCAGCCTCCTCACCCCCCAGCGCCCGTCGGGAGTGAAGGATCGCGGGACACAGTCCAGACCCCCCCAGGACTTCGAGAATAGGGGTGCTGAGCGGAGAAGAGCCTGAACACAGGGATCCCGGAGCCTTGATCCGGTTAGGGGATTGCCAAGGATCAGAGGGCCCGTGACCCTTTTCCTCGCCAACCCAGCTCCAAGCCCCGGGCGCCGAGGGTTATGACTTTATCGCTAAAAAAATAAACGAACTGCTCGCTCCTCAAACGAATTTTAATTACCGCCTCCCTCCCCCCGCCCACCCTCCTCTTTGGACCCCCGAGGTTGAACATCCCCCTGAGGAGCGGGTTGGGGGGGCAAGCCCCCAGCCGGCGGCTTCCCCGGGCCACTGCCCGCTCCAGCCGCGGACGCCACTTGCCCCCTCGCAGCGCCTGCGTCTAGGAGACGCTGCGACGCCCCGACCTGGAGCACCGGGAGCGGGGCGCCGGGCAGCGCCTTCCCGGGCCGGAGGGGACCGGCCTCCGCGTGCAGTGTGACCGGAGGAGATGTCCCGGGGTCGGGTCGCTGGACGCCCCTGCCCGGCTCCTGTGGACGCCCCTGCCGGGCTCCGGCTTCTGCCTCCCGCCTCGACGGCTCAGCGGGCTGGGCCCGGCGGGGCAGCGGGACGCGAGTAAAAGTGGGTGTAACAGGCTTGGGGAGCATGGGGGCGGCTTCTTGTCCTTTGAACTGCCCTGCAGGGGTGTGTTTGGGGGGTGGGTGGGGTGGGAGCAGAGGCGAAGCCCGCCCTTACTTCTACCCGTCTCTCCCGCCGAACGCGGCCCGTTTCAGCACCGGGGGCTGCGGACAGCGCCTGCCCGCCTGGGAGCGCAGCCGCCCCTCTCCGTCGCGGGGGGTTCTGTAATTCACCTCCCGTCTGGAGTCTCCGTTCCCAGCACACCCCCCCGGCACCCCCAAGAACTCCCAGCTCAAGAGCCCCTGAGATCCTTACCCCGCCAAAGTTTGAGCTTCTCCTCGGCACGCCCGAGTGTGCAGAGCGGCTCCTCCTCCCTCCCGGCGGCGCCGCGGGCTCGCGCCCTCCCCCACCCCGGCTAGGACTCTGCTGGGGGTGGCGGCCTCCCTCTCTCTGGGGAAGTCAGGCTAGGCAGGCTCTGGAGCCTCAAAGGAGGCAGAAGACACTCACTCACAGCCCCGTCCCTCCCAGGGAAGAGGAGGCGAGTCGGGACCAAGAAAGCAGCCAAGTCCGCCTGTCAACTCTGGATTCCCTCCTAACCGCCGTGGCCACCTTGGCCTCCTTCTTGGGATGTTTTCCCTGTGGTGTAATCCACACGGATGAGTACACAACAGAGATCCGGGCGTTTGACGTTTAAAGGTGGGGTCTATATATTTTTGAACCCGTTTAGAAACTTAGGGAAGATTTTGGAGAGAAGTCTCTCTTTAAGAAAATGGGCATATTCCTTGCAGAGTTTTCCTTTCCTTCTATCACACCAGATAACTCCAGATTCCCTGATCTAAAAATCAAAACCCACCAATCCAGCTAGTATTCATTATCCTCTGTTGGAGCCAAAGGATCTTAAAATTGGGGGAGAAATAAGCTTTATTTAATGAAACTCGCTTTTCCCACAGAAAGGATATGTCCAAGGGCACACATCTATCTCCCTGAAGGGCGAAGACCTAATCACACTTCTCCCTCACTGGCAGCTGCACGCTCCAATTCTGGATTGCAGGAGCAGGTCCCAGGAAGAATCAGAGCCTTCTTGCCTGGGACAAAACCTGGACAACCTCTTAGGTTCCAGGTTCTCTGCACTGACACCCTCATTGGGTACACCACAAAAGCAATTCCCACAGCAGCCAGCCACCCAGAGTGTCATTGAGAACTTGGGGCTCATGACACTTCTTGAACATAAAAGGGGGACTCCCCCACAAACAGAATTAATTTGTGGAGGGTGGGCCTCTTGTTGTACAGGCTTCCCCCAATAGGTAAGTGTTCTAGGAAACCATCAGCATCAGAGTACCAGCTAACGTTGTCTAGAGAGACTGCATTTGGCTTCGGTGAATATATATATAGGCATTGAATCTCAAAATATATATATATTTTTGAGGGAAAAGTTTTGCCAATGTGGAAAAGGTGAAACAAAAGACGGCAGAAGCACTAAAAGGCAACAGAATTGACAAAATCTAAAACTGTTTTGAGGAGGGGAAAAAGCATCCCAATAGGTGTATTACATCAGATGGAGAGTACTGTGAAGGTGACAGATGTTTAAACATGTAAAAACAGTTTTTGATAAATAAATTATGTGTTTTTTGGGCCCCCCTTGTGCTAATTAAATTGTCTGTTCATAGAGAAGGCTACGCTCAGGAGGCGTCAAGTCCATTCAGTTCATGCAACACTTGAATGGAGGGATGAAGTGTCTATTCTTTATTGAAGAAATACAGAATTAGAAGTGTGCACACGTGTGCTTGTGCACATCACACATCTGAAAGAATCTAGAAAATTTTTCCTTAAAGAAAAGTCAGGCTTAGTTGTTTGGTTTAAAGGAATTCTGGTCGTAGGGGAGCAGATAAATGAAAGTGGTGAATCACCAAAATGAAGTTGAAGCCACAGGAGTTGGTGGAAAGAATTCTCGTTGTATTATTTGGGTTTCTGGAAGGAATCTGAAATTAATTCAACACAAGAGAAAACATAACCTATGGGCCCTTGCCTCATCAAGGACTTTAGTTTCCTTATTCCAGGGAATCTCTAGCATACCTCAGTTATGTGCAATTTTTAAAAATAGTCCTTATTGTTTGGAAATGCTTTACTTCCTCTAATCCCAATAATTTATGTTACAAGTTAAAACTGTTTCCTGCTAACTTGTCCTTGGGAAAGACTGGAAGCAGATGATTATTTTCTGTTGTCCAGAAACATTTCAGAGCTTCAAAAGAATCTTAAATCCTGATGTTGGAAAACGTAACAAGTTATCATGAGATAATTTTTAGACATCATCCTGAAACATGAAAAGGTTCCTTTGGACTTTGTTCCTGAGGTGTACATCATTTCTAAGACTTAAGGGATAAAACAAGACTTTACAAAACTAACCGTTCAATGGAGAAGTACACTGAGCCTAATGTAATGAGATAGTGTTTAGCAGAGTTGGGCCCATGCTTGGCCTTCAGGAAATCCTGTGTGTAGCAATAGTTGTCACTAAAAACTTTGGGTACCTGAAAGATAGAAAGAGATGAACAGAGACTGGAAATGAGTAGAAAGAACCCCAAAGGGATATATCTGTGCATTTGCCTACAAAAGGCATCCAGCTGTAAGGTCTTAGGCTGCCGGGATAGACGGTCCAGATTTGGCCAAGATCCACTCCATGGGATAGCCGTCCTATTGCTCAAGCTTCACCTGAGAACTGACACAGTGTGGAATGAACAACAATGTTTTGTCAAGATGCAGGACATAACCAGGAGCAGACAATCCCAGATGAATTAGTGGGATGCCCTAATAGGCCCATGGGACCAAGGTACCCAGGAAAGCAAGCCCCAGAAACCCAGAGCCTTGTGCCAGAATAGGAAAACTATGGCAAGAAGGGAGCTACGGAGAAGGCACTGCTTCTTTCTGACAGGGCAGGTGAGATCAGGACAAAGTGGGTGGGAACCTTAGGTGAATCCCCGGTTGCTTCAGTCTCAGTCAGGACTCACTAAGGACGTGGGAAGAGGTTGTGGGAAAAAGAGTAGTACCCAGCTATCAGGATCTGAGGAAGGTTGGAGCTGGGAAACCTGGTACCGGTTCTACCCACCTGTGAATTAGTTGCCAGAGAAATGAAAGGATAAATATCAGTCATGCCAAGAGGGTTGGGTCCAAGCATGAGCGGGTACATGTGTGGCTTAGGAGACTCCTCAGTGATATTTAGGTATAATTGTTTTTGAAATTTCAAAACCATGTGATGGTCTATATAGTCTTCTATATAGATTTTATTTGGTGAGTCAATTGGGGTTAATAAGATTCAGTGATGTTGCTTGTAGTTATAGTTTCTTCAGTTTCACTATGCAAATATACAAGTTGTTATTTATTCTGTATGCATATCATACACCTTGCTTTAAAAAATGGGAGCAAGGGAAGCTAAATTTTTGTTATTATAATTGTCTACAATCTTCCCAGTCCAAACACATTTTAGATGTCCTGGAGACCCAATATTTATAGGTTAGGGTTGAAAGGCACAAGATTTTGTCCATAGGTGGGCAACAGGACTGCCGTTTCTCCTGGGGGCCATCTGGTTCCCAGTGTGTTAAAGGACACACAATCTGATAAGTAGATAAGCCAGACTAACAGATGATAAGCAGAAATGCAAGAGATAAGCCCAGTTATCAGTGGGGGCGAGGAGGGGGAGATGTGAGGGCTTGTTCTGGCAGATGGTCTAGATCCTTGGCAAAGCATAAGGCAATTTGTAGGAATAGCTTTGGGAAATAAAATATTTATGATGAGGCAGGCAAAGTTCCCATGAGAAGCAAGGGTGCAACAGTTTCCCCTGCAGGAATTCTCTCAGTCAGTACAAAGTTGGATGGGGAGAAAAGGCCCCAACTTGGGGAGAAGCAATTGTTTTGGGTCTTTAAGGCCCACATTGCCTGTTTCCTTCTCGAGCAGCAGAGAAGATGGCACCGATTTTCCTCATTTACCTGTGGTTGGAAGAATAGAAGGAAAATAAAATAAAATGAATGCATCAGATTTAGAGAGTTTAAAATTGTATCCAAATACCATTAAGAGCCTGAGGAAGACTATGGGACCATGGCATCTAATCTACCTTGTCTCCTGAGGGTCTCTCCCCCGACTTTCAGGTCAGTTTTGCAAGCTGGGGATAGCTGGGGGCTGCCTGTGAATCCCCAGTGCCAGGCTTCCAACTCCATCCAAATCTCCACTATCTGATCATCAGTCTCACCTTTCATAGATAATCTATTTTCAAACTTTGATTCCTTTTAAAATGCAAACAACTCCAGGACATAGAGTGTGGATAAAGAATCAAGCAAAAAGTTCTGGCAGGAAAGACTGAGGAGAGAGCATCTGATGATCCTGCAGGTCAGTGATGGTGTCATGGTGCCATGGCTGGGGGGAGGTGAGGGCAGGACCAGAGGTGGGGAAAGGGCCCAGATGACAGACACAGAACACCAAGGGCGAACATGGCATCCATCACAACTCAGCCTGGTCCTGGCACAGGTAAATCACCTGAGCTTTCATATAAGCCTAAAACGTTCATTTTCCACCCACCAAAGAAGGGCAACCACCTTTGCTAATTGTTAAAGCTGGCACAAGCGTACCAGATGCAAGCCTGTTTTAGTGGATTGTGATGTGAATGCCATCAAAGTGCTCATTAATAGATGTGACATGATCTAGGGCTCAGTCCTGCTCAGTGCAACACTGTCATTGCGGCTTTGGGGAAACGTAGCGTTTCCTGTATATTTTCATATGGATAGAATGTGTAGCTAACGCACACTCAGGAAATATGGTGACTAAGTGTATAAATCAGGATTTTAAAAAAGTCTTGAGAGCCTTCGACGATGGGCTGAATAGCTAGACCAAGAACAGATGCAATGATCACAAATATAAAGCTCTGCAAGATGGTCTAAAATGTCAGCCACCCAAGTTCAAGAAGAGGAGACGAGGTTAGCAGGCCCCACTCAATATGATGTGAGATCTCCAGATGACGTGTCTCCACAAAAATTGACAAAACTAATGAGAAATAAGACTGACTTAATAGAGTATCACATAGAAAGAGGCGAGCCTTGCTCAGTTCGTGTCTTGCAAACATACCTGGATTATTTTCATCTTAGTTGCCGCATTTTAAAATATGTTGCACAGCTCAGCCTGTATTCCCAGCACCTTGAGAGGCCAAGGTGTGTGGACTGCCCGAGCCCGCAGGCTCGAGACCCGCCTGGGCAACTTGGCAAGACCTCATTTCTACAATAAATCAAAAATTAGCCGGACACGGTAGCATGCATTTGTAGTTCGCTACCATGACTGAGGTGGAAGGATCGCCGGAGCCTAGCAGGTCGATG